ATGTCAAACAATGTATTAACATATTATAGCTATCTATTAAGTAATGCGTGTTTTTGTAAATGACAATATTATGTCCTTTAAAGTTTTATAGAACGTAATATAATAAATTATTCACATTATAAATGGTTATCAATTAAATCATATACTGTTCATGAAATGATTGTTTATTACATAATTCTTTGTTTGTGTTTCATTTTGTGCTCATAACGTTTTGTTACCTATTTAAAAGTATATAAAATGTGACACGTGTAGTATAATAATCCTACATAATTTTACACAGCGAACGATAAACATTGTATTTATCAGTTTAAACATTTAACATTTGTTGGGTTTAATTATTTTAAATTTTAGCTGATGTCCTAAAATTRGATAAAACTAAAAACGAGTGTATATTATCCTTGTTCTTAGACCATATGAATGTTTTTTTTTTTTTGGTACTGCGTTACTCTGTTTGTTATAAGTCTATTTGTGAAACTAGAGCGGGGATGCTTTGGGTCTTTAGCACTCTAGTAAAGTTAGGTTCCATTAAGTCATAAAATACCTGAAGCTTAAGCTTCTCCTTGTTCAAATTTCTAGTTAGGTACGCAGTTACGCTGATGGGCTGATGTATAACTTATTAGTATCAAATGTAAAATTGGTAATAATATAGAAATTAGAAATTGATTATATAATTGATTAGATGAAAATGCTGGGACATAATATTATTTTACGTATAGAACTGTAAAAAGTAATTATTCAGTTATGCATTGATAGGACRGGATGAAAAATAATGAAATGGGACCATGCTATATAGGTAGGTGTAATTTTTCTGACGCGTCATGACGGTTCAATTTAGACGCACTAACTTCCCACCTGGCAATAGCACCTCTGCCSGCTACTGATGAAAACACGCCCACAGTATCAAGCTGCTGACCAGCACATTTCATACTTGACATCTGCTTGCGACGCATGCATGCCGCCCAGGGCACCACCGCCTCACGGCAGAAGGCAAGCCCACAGGTAGAACCAATAAATTGCCACRTTACGCGACGAATACGGTCGACTGCGTAGGAGTTACCACAGGGCAGCAAGAAGGCGAGAGTCACACGAACAACTRGATGTTCAYCGAACCGCATATAAGGTCAAGAGGAAGGTATTGCGGCAAGCAATAAGATCCTCCCAGGCTAAATGCTGGTCCGACCTATGCAGATCCGTTGACTCTGACCCGTGGGGTCTTCCCTACAAAATCGTCACCAAACGCATCGGTCGTCGAAGTCCAGGAATTGATGCCCGCGGCATGGAGTCGGAGATCGCCGATCACCTCTTCCCGAACCCCCCAGCGACGGACTGGGCACTCGAGCCCCACCCACCAGAAACCGCAGAAGATGAAACCGTTGAAGACTTCACCCTGGCCGAACTGRCCCAAGCCTGCAAAAGACTTCCCCCTGGCAAGGCAACCGGCCCTGATGGTATCCTCAACGAGGTTCTAGCCAAGGTGTTCCTCCGGAAGCCTAACATCCTACTCAGCGTCTACAACAACTGCTTGGCCAACACCACCTTCCCTTYCCGATGGAAGRAATCCAGACTAGTACTATTGCACAAAGGCCCCGGCAAGCCGACAACCGAA